GTTGGTCCAAACTGCCAGAGAGGCACCACCTTTGGGTCTCCTCCAGCCCATAGAAGTCATGCTAACTGAATTCCTTACTGCTCCAGTTTTTCTGAGCAGAGGCTCTTTTACTCTCTCTAGTGATTTCGGCGGTGGCTGCTGTCTTTGATGAAGATGCTTTTCCCCAACACTGGTGACTAGAGAGGCTCAAGAGTTAAAGGGCAAAGAATTGCCCTTAGATTGACTTTAGCCCTTTGCAATTCATACCTTGAAGACGTCTCCCTGCCACCACTCCCTCACCATCTGTGGCCTTGACTGAGTTCCCCTCATATGTTCTATGAACTTGTCAAAAGAAATCCAGAACGGTGCAGACCTTAGAAAACTTCAAAAGCAAACTCTCTCCAACTGATGCACTTCTCCAAAGAAACTGTTGTTCTTTCTGAACCCTGATGCAATCCATGATGGAAAAATAAGCTCAAGGTTTCAGGTTCTCAGCGCTCTCCCTGTTTCGATGCTGCCCCACCCTCCAGTCTATTCTCCACACTGCAACCAGGGAGTCGTCTCAAAACAGACATCAGACCATACCACTCCTCCACTCAAAAACCCCCAAAGAGTTGGCAACACTCACATTTTTTTTAGAAACTAGAAGAACGAGAATAAATTACTCTGAAATGAAAACCAGATAAAGAGATGGCCCCGCAACCCCTCAAACTAAAGGTAAAAAAATCTCCTATGAGAATAAATACCAAAGCCCTTAATGAAAAACTTATAAATAAAATTAAACAATTGTAGGTAATAAGCATGATCAACTAAGTATGTTTTACTCTAGAAGTTGCAAGCTTGCTTTAACACATCAAATCAAGTGGTGCAATGCACCATATTTAAAAAATAAAAAACAATCCATGTTATCTCAACAGCTATAAAAAAAAACCCACATTTAACACAGTTCAAAACCTATTCATAATTCAGGAAACAAAAACCCTAGCAATTTAGTAATAATTGAAAGGAATTTCCTCAAACTATAACCAACAGCATACTTAATGTTGAACAAAAGATTGTTTCCCTGTAAGATCACAAATAAGATATGTGTATCCATTTCTCTTCAACAGTAAACCTGTCATTGAATATCACTGAATTGCCATGAAATAAAGACAAGTAAAAAAGACATATACATTGGAAATGAAGAATTAAAGTTCAATTATGATTGCACAGTCATATACTAAAAAATGCTAACAAATTTACCCAAAAATTACTGAAATAAGAGCCCAGCAGAGTCTCAGCATATAGTCAATTTGATTCTTTTTTGACACCATTTATAATAGTAGCAAAATATCCATTACTTACGGATAAACTTAAGACAACTTGTTCAAGACTTGTCCATGAAAATCACAAACCTAAATAAATGGAGACAAACCATGTTCATCACTGATTATTACTGCAAAGCATGATATTGTTATATTAGCAATATCCCTTAACACAATGTCAATTCTTCCCAAACTGATTTCTAGATTCAATCAAAATTCTGGTCAGCATTTTTTTAGAAATCTACTAAAAAAATCTACTGCAGTCAAGCTGATTCCTCTGGTTTTTAAAGCTCAGCAGGAGACTGCCACATCTCTCCTACTGAAAAGTTCTTGGATTTGATTACTGACCTTTCAGTTAGTGACCCAAAACTTCATCTACTATGTCACACATGGAAATACATGACACCTCCAAGAGCTGGAGTCGTCATGGATAAAAACAGAAGTAAAGGATCAATGCAGCAGAATTCCAAGACTTGACAGAAATCTGCAGTACTAATCAAGATGATGTGGAATTGGTATCAGAGTACAGGTCCGAAGAACAGGACTGCAAATCCAGAAGTTACGTTTGAGAAGGATGCCAAGGCAATTCCATGGGGAAGGGGCAATCTCTACAAGAAATGATTCTGGGACAAGTAGGTATCCATATGGGAAAACAATCTCTGCCACTAATCTCCTGCCATACACAAAGGTTAAGTTCAAGCAGTTGTAGTCCTATGTGTGAAGCTAAAAGTGTAGTAAGGAATCCTAAAATTGTCTTGACTCCTGGGTTGGTACAGATTTCATCTGTGGGGTAGAGTACACATGAACCACGACAATGAAACTGATTCTGCCCTCTCAAGACAATGGCAGTCATGACTGCTTACAACTCTATTCATTTCCTACACCTGTACCAAGTACCACATGCTTTGGAGCTTCAAACAACCCAAATCTACTCTCCCACCTTTCTGGTGCTCCCAGGGTTAGCTCCTCTGGAAGCTCTGAGACAGTTCACTAGCCCTTGACAAGACCAACACCTTGGGCATGCAGCCCCCAAAGACGTCCTGTTATTCTTCCAAGCACCTAATCTCAAAGTGAACACTGGCTATGTGCCAGGCACACTACAAAAGGTAGATGCCCTCAGTCTATAATCAAGGAAAACGAGACTTGGAAAAGTCAAGTCACCAGGCCACCAGTGGATAGCACAGTGGCCCAGGGAGTTCTCCCCCGGTCACTCCAGTCCCTCCTGTGGAGTTTCCCACTGCCTTCTCTGCTCTTTGGCAAAGACTCCCCACAAGACAGACTGACAGTGACTGCCATCACGGGCTGGGACACATGGGAAGCCTGAGGCAAGGTTCCCCTTTGTATTCAGTGCTCACAGGGTCACTGAGTCCTAGTCACCTTGACTTAACCCATAGCACCAGCATCCAGTCTTCCCGTTTCTACCTCGTTCGCAAAGGCCCCAATCTGTCAGCTCGCTAACAGGTCAGTGGCCTCCTTGTGTCTTAGAATCACAGTGTTTATGGTGAAGACTGGGCGACAGGCGTGCTTTATAATGTAAGACCCATGGCTGTCTCGGGTCTCCTTTCACATAGGCTCGAGGCTCTGTGCGGGCAGTGACTGGGCAGGGTCCTTGGACTCTGTGCCATCCAGTTGTGTCAGGAATGAGCACTTCCCTTCACAATGGCACAAACGAAGTCACAGAGGCACTCAAACCCCAGGTAGGCTTTGTAAGAACAGATTCTGTCTCAATGCAATACACGCACATCACAGGAACTTGGGAAGTCCATACGAGGAAACTGTACGTGACTGGTACACACACACAAAACATCAGGGCAGTCTGTTCTGACAGCTTTTACTTCTCCACACAGACAGATACAATATTGGGTCACCCTTCACACAGTTTTCACTCAACATACTGCAAAAACAAAAAAAAAAACCATGGTTGAAGGGGCCTCCAGGGCCTTGTGCTGAGTCTTTGGGGGTCATGTGGGCTTTCCAAGCATCTTGCTCGGCGGAGGAGGCAAGGCGCAGCAGGATGGGCTCCCACACTTTGTCTTGACGTCACTGTCTTAGCATCACTTTTGGTTCATGGTGTAGATTCCTGAGTAATGAGGCTGAAATGCTTTCTTAAGCCTACTGAACATTGGGATTTCTCTTGTGTGTCAAACTAGAAAAATGGGGAGTGGGGGTGAGCTGTGGGGGGCACAGAAGTTCCAGGTAGGGTGTGATCAAGAAGATCAGAAGGTCACAGCTAGTAAAGCCTGCTGGATCCCCTCATGGGAGACATGGAAACTGAACCTCTGGAAAACCCAAAAGGGAGAATGCCCAGCCTCCCTCCAGGCTGCCGCTGCCGGGTGCCAGCCAGTCAGAACTGACCCCAGCCCATAGCTGCAGCAGGTTTTCAGAGGTGGTAAATGGTGAGGGGAGAGAGCAGCTGGTGGATTCTACCCATGTGCCTTTGAGACTGTAGCACAGCTTCTTACCACTAGAACTCCCTCCCTCCAGGTAATGGCTTAAAATCCCTGGTCTCTGGTCTATGTTCGGCCCTACACACACAGAGTCCAGAGCGTACTTGAGGAGGCCCCATGGGAGTCTCAACTAAGGCCTCATCCCACCACGGAGATTCAAACTCTACTGGTCTGGAGAGGGTGTTCCCCGGATGATTCCAACATTCAGCCCATAACTGGTTAACGCCCATGACTTTGAAATCTTGGAAAATGCTCAGAACTTTGTCAAACAATAAAGTGAAAAGTTCACTGTTGTTTATCATCTTAGCAGGACTGGGGGCATCTGAAGCTGGTGCAAGGACACGGGCAGAAACCCGTCTGTGTGGAAACATGGCCGCCACTGCTCCCATGGGGCATCAACAGCCAAGGCTAAACTCTGAGAGTGTGTAGGAAGTTTCCTTCCATCAGACCATGAGGGGGTCACGAGTGGAACTCAAAGCAAGCGAAGAAATGACTAACAAATGGGATGATATCAAAACTTAAAACTTCAAGACAAAAGATCAAAAGCAAAACATGAATTTTGACTAACAGCAGCCCTGCAGGATACAGGAGCGCTACTCCACAGGTTTCCAGGTTCAAATCCTCACGGGAGCGGGCTGCTGCATCGTCTCCAGCAGGTCGGTCAGTGGCTTCGAACCACGAGTTAGCAGCCAAGTGCCTCACCATTATCTAGACAACGAAGTCCCTTTCCACTTCGCCTTAACCACTGTACCACTAGTGCCCCTGGAGAAAAGGCAAACAACACTTAATTCTGTTAATAAAAATCTCCTAAAAACCAAGTAACAGAAGATCTAGAAATCTAACAGCAAAGTGGGCAAAAGGCTGGCCTCACTCCCTTGATGGCAAGGCTGGGGAAATCAGGTGCCACGTTAGGGGGGCACACAAAACAAGGCCCCCGGCCAGTAGAGGACCGTGAGTGCCACTGCCACCATCTCTGACTCAGACAGCCCCAAAGATAACCGGGGAGAATGACGATGTCAATGGCATGCCTGGATCCGTGGTTCCCCATGTGAGGCTGGGAGGGCGAGGCTCCTGCAGCAAGCGGGTCAAGCAGATGGGGCAGAACGCAGAGGGCACAGGATGAGGAGGAGAAAGAGCAGCGATCCCCACAGAGCCGAAGCCGAGCTAGCTGATGGGGCTCAGAGCAGCAGTCCCTCTGTGAACTAGCCCTTCACCCTGGACTGATGTGTCCTGGCCTGGTCAGCCACGCGGGGCCTTGCGCACGCTGGCCCTATTCAATGCACTCCATGACGTGGATCTGCAGGGTGTCAATGTCCGGAGCCTGGTACTGGCACTTGGGACAACAGAAGTCAGGTGGCTCATCAGGGGGACTCCTCCTCGGGCTGGGCAGTGCCAGGTGAAAGGAGCCTGGGAAGAGAAGGAGCACTGTAGTCGGGGCCTTCGGGCGGGCAGAGAACGGAGGGGAGAAAAGGCACAGACGCACAGGCCCCTGTCCAGCTACCAGTTCATCTCTCATGGGAGGCCTCCGGGTGGCCTCCGCAGGACAGAAGACACTAACAGAGATGGCCTCACCCAGATTCAGACTGTCAGTCTGGAGGCCATGATGGGATTTCCTCCAGCACAGACTCCTCCCCCTAGAGACTAGTGGGTCAATGGCCACTCACCTGCTGGAGGGGGCAAGGGTGCCTGAGCCCCATCCACGTGCCGCTTCCGCATATCCTCAATCAGGGCCCTTGGAGACAGAAACACTGCCATCAGCACACATGCACACAGTGCCTACGGGGCCAGGGGCAGGGCAGGGGGGAGACCAGTGTGCCCACATCCCTGCCGGCGGCCCCAGGCCCCCACTGGCACCCCCCTCCTCTCCCAGGAGCCCCACCTGGTGGACTCCTGCGAGCTGGCCTTCAGCTTGCTGTACTCCCTCTGCAGGTGCTCCAGCTGCTCCTGTAGCGCCTCCTTCTTCTCGGCCAGCTTCTCCCGTGCCTGCCTCTCAGCCTGGAAGTCGGCCTTATAAATGTCCGCCTGATAAACCCAAGACAGGAGCTGCCTGGGTGGGGGCTTCAGGCCTCAAGGCTAGACAGAGGGTCAGAGCGGACCCCCAGCTGCCTCCCCGAGCTCACGGCAGGGCCAAGAAAGGGAGCATCTCAGTGACTTCTGGTTCAAGGACCATGTCAAGGGGAGAGGTGAAATGCAGAGAACCTGACATTTATCAGGAGTTACTGGGGCTGGGAAGAGAGACAGGGAGGTGACGTTTACAGGGGACACTAAAAAAAAATCTGTCAATTTCCCAGTGTGACTATGATGTCACTGAACTATACACACACAAATAGTTAAAATGAGAAGAAAGGAAGAGCACACCAAGAACACACAGCTGATTACCTGTCAAACACTACCAACCACATGTAGCTGAAGTTTGAAAAGGCAGCTTTTGATGAGAACAAGGCCTCACCTGGGCCCGCAGCACCGGCACAGTCTCCATCACCACCTTGTGCTGCTCCGCCTCTTCCTTCAGCTTGTCGATCAGCTCCTGCTTGGCCACCAGAGCTTCCTCCGCCTGCTGCAGCTGCTGCCTCAGATCTTCCCAGTGCAGGCCCTAGAAGCAGGCAGGAGCTGGAAGAGGCCTCTGCCAGTGGCCAGGCCAGGCCAGCCCACTTAGCCCCAGGGCTGAGCACAAGAGACAAATGTAGTGGCTGCCAAGGCCTCGAGGGTCAGAAGTGGGGATTTTCCTTCAGGAGTCATGGGCCTTCAGGGGACAAAGGCCACACTCCCTCTGAGGTAATGACACTGTCTGCAAGTGTCTTCCCACCCCGCTGTCCTAACCATGCTCTGGGGGACACATCCTCACACGGTCTGAGCAACTCCAAGACAGTGTCCTTCAGAAAGCGTGTCCAGGCTAGGAAAGGTGTGATCAGGACCCTCGAGAAATGGGCCTCTGGGGAAAGCCTGCAAGCAACCTGGAGGCCTGGCCAAGCAGATCACTCTGCAGACTCCCCATTGTACCACCTCCCACCAAGGGCCGTCACTCATCAAGTCTTCCCACAGCCTAGACTAGCAGGCTAGCACCAGGCCCCACGCCGTCCTTCCCTCAAGCGGGGCATGGAGCGCGTAAAGTTCACCCCAAAACACAGCAGGGATGTTCTTGCAGGGGCGCAAGGGGCACGGACCTCCCCGCCCGCACTCACTCGGTTCCGCTCGCTGCTGGCCATGCTGTTCTTGATATGATTGTCATAGTCTTGGAAGAGCTGGTGATAAGCCACCTGTAACTGAGCCAGCTTGCGCCTAAGAGAAATGAGCTTATGAATGAGACCCAGCCTCCTCCTGGGCCCACCGCACCTTTTCCTGTTCACATTCAACCCTCTTCCATTTGGTCATGAAACAGGCCCTGGATGGGCATTCCAAGGATGCACTTGTCTTCTCAATCTGAGAGCAGCTGAGCTGGTCAATGGTTACTATCTTTTTTTCTTAAAATTAGTATCTTGAAGAAGGGGGGAAGAAAGCCATAATGAAAGAGAACTGTCCTCCTGTCCTACGCACTCCTGAGAACAAAGCTGAAAGGCGACTAAGGCACCACCCGCAGCCACACGTGGACCAGGACAGGATGCCACTAGAAAACCGGTTGTCAGACGTGTGTGGGCCAAACAACAGATGACACTGGGTGCTTCAAAGAGGAGGTGTGACTGCCACACAGCAAGGAGACACCGGCCGAGGTACTCAGGTAGAGGCCCCCGACAGAGACAGAGACACACACACACACACACACACACACACCGGCTGAGGTACTCGGGTAGAGGCCCCCGACACACACACACACACACACACACACACACTTGCTTCCTAATAACTGCTCATCTGTACATGTGGAAGAAAAGGGGAAATGCGATTTATCAAATGGAATCTTCAATAGTGACTCTCCTAGCAAGTTTAAAAAGAATGAGTAGGGGAAAAAATGAGTAGGAAACTCAGCAAAAGTTATCCACATGAGGTCTGGGTGAGGGGGAACAGCTTAGTGACCAATGTCCCTTCAATCTAGGGTCACAAGAATGACTGAAAGACACATGGGACCCCCACTGCCACATGAGACAAACTGGCACCAGCCACACAGAAGCTCCTTGCTCAAATCAGTACTATGAAGTGAGGAGACAGTGGGACCATTCTCCCAGCTAAGCATTCATGCCTGTGACCTCTAACCTTCCATGTTGTTGTTGTTAACCTTCCACACCTGTGACTAATGAGCAAGGCTAAAGGACAGACTCAGCCTCTTACCTCGGCAGCCTCCTCCTTTTGCCCTCCCGTCCAAGTATAGCCCACGGGGCCCGGCGGCTCCCCACCCACCAGGCCACTCAGGCTACTCACTTCTCCTCCGAGGCAGCCTGGCGCTCCATGCGCAGTGCAGCCTCCACGCTCTGGCTCTGCATGCGCAGCTGATCCACCTGCACGTTGTGCTGCTGCTGCAGCACCTCCCGCTCGCTCTCCAGCTGCCTGGCCTGCTCGCTGGCCGCCCGGACCCTGGTGGGTGGGGGTAGGGGACAGCAGCAGGCCTTGCTCCAGCCATGACTGTGCTCCAAGCCCGGCGGCTGGCATTTGGGGAAGCGGCAGGCAGAGGGCACGGAGAGGAGCCCAGAGGGGAGGCCCGCGTGGCTGAGCTTCCACTCGCACCAGAGGGGCCCTGCTGAGAATGCCCTTCCAGTCAAACCCTGGTCATGAGTGTGGCCCTGGGGACTCTCAAAATGTCCCCTAAAGAAATGGTCCAAAATCTGGGAAAAACGAAGAGACAGAACGCCAGCTTGGACCCTGAGCGCCCAGAAGGCCCTGTTGTCCGATGGATCGATCCCCACCATGGTCCGAGAATGGACACTAAGTGATTGAGTGGGGCTGTGTAAACAAGGTGCTCAAAAGCCCACCAAGAGGAGCAGGTTACATATTAATAATGTAAATAAAGTGCTGGCACCCGGGGGGAGGTGGGATCATGCAAATGACTGTGTGGAAAGCCAACAAGACTGGTCAGTTTTGTCAACCAGCAGGGCTACTCCGAGCAATCCCAGAGACAGAAAGGAGAATCTCATGACAAAAAGAAAACAACTTTGGGACCCAGCATCCCTGTGCTAAGAACCTCCATGACCCTGAAGACAGAGTTGTAACAATGCGGACAGTGGGGACAGAAGCAGCAGTAGAGAAACAGTGGCAAGAGGCATCTCAGCGGAACTAGGCTTGCTGGCTGATGGAGCTAGAGCTGAGCACCTGCAGGCCGCGGCTGGCTGGTGGAGGGGGAAACCTCTGGGCACTTACTGGCAAAGTTAATGAGCCATGTTAACACAGAGGCCCTAGGGGCTGAAAGACAAGGGGCCAAACACCAGGAAGAGGCCCCCCTGCAGGCACGAGCAAGAAGAACTGCATTCTGTATCCTTCCTGATCCTATACTATAATCTGTTATGTCTCTAATAAACTACGTAATTCTGAGTATTACCAGAGTTCTGTGTTGCCACTGCAACAAATGAACTGAACACAGCAGAACAGTAGAGTGCTTGGTGGGGGCAGCTAATATCAAGATTGCTAAAAAGACGGAAGAGAGAAGGTATACCTGGCCTTCACCCCACAGGAATAAGCCTTAAGCTGACGCCAGTTCTCCTTCCCCTTTGTGAAACTGGAGGTCAAATGACCCCACCAGCCATTCTGAGAGCCCCTAAACAGGCCTCTTCTTGAAATACTGAAGTAGCTACCAGGGCAAACACTCTCTCTCCACTCACCTGCTCTCCAAAGCCTGCCGGTCCTTGTTGGCAGCCTCCAAACGACTCTGGCTCTCCTGGAGCTCGCCCAGCAGGGACGTCACCTGCGCTTTCACCGAGGCCTTGTCCTCAGCCATCTGCTGCAGGAATAAAATCACGTCCTGTCAACTTCCTGACTCGCTGATGCCCCATTCCTTGCCTCACTGGTGTCTTAGGCTAAGGCACATACACTGAGAAGTTTCTGCATTTTCCTTAGCACCCCAACTCCAAGGCCCTGCCCTCACATCCACCTCAACAGCCCCCTGCATCCCCAGCCCACCCTCCCTCTTCATCCTCATTCCTCACCTCCAAAAGGCAGGAAAGGGGCCAAGTTCCATCTATCCACACCCCAGACCCACGACCTCAAAAAGGAAACAAAGTACTAGCGGAAAGATGCAACCAAGGGGATACAAACATAGCCACCGCCTGGGCCATTGAGCAAGGTGTGGGAGTGAAACTAGCAACCTAGCAGCCACAAGATCGCAGCCTGAGAATCCCGCCTCACCCTCCACCCTTGCTGAAACTCTGAGAGACACTGAGGAAGCTGTCTGCCCCATTCCACGGGCATGAAGCCATGAAAGAGGATGGACCAACATGAATTGTCTACATTCATCATCCTCTGGCTCCCTCCTCATCTCATCCAAGTGGCCCAGGACCCTCAGTAGCATCTGCTACTCCTGCCTCTACACACACTGGCTTCTGTGGGCGTCTCACCATCTACCACCTTAGACTTCTGAACCTACCAGCCAGTTCTTTACTATCTCTGAACCACAAAGTTCAGATCCTGGACCCCACACAGGCTTCCGCCTCGGGACCTATACATGTTTTCTTTTCAGTCAATATCAGGTTACTTCTCACCACAGCCACTGCCACCCCGGTACTACAATCACCTCTGGGTCGGTGTCCAACAGACTGTCATACTGACCTCCTGCTGTGACCCTAATAATAGCTCCAAGTTGTCCTCTCAGCAAAGAGGCAAACAGTGATTTCTGATGGGGCCTTGGTAAACAAAGGCCCTCTCACCAGGCAAGGTATTCCCAATGTTTAGAGATTATCTGTCAGGAGATAGGTCAAGGTCACACCTTGCTTTGGAATACAGTAACCGGGGCTGCCCAAAAAACAAAGATAGTTGTCTCTGCAAAGTGCAGCTGGACTACTCCTCAAAGCAAGGATGGAAAGGCTGATTCTGATACAGTTTGAACACGTTAGCAGAAGGATTCTGTTTTCAGAGAAAGACATCACGTTTGTTAAAGAAGAGGGTCCACATCCAAAAACTTCTCCAACAGGGTCAAAAGGGAAGCCACAGACTGGGAAAAAGTATTTGGTAATGACATGTCAGATAAGGGACTTATACCCAGAATGTATAAAATACTTGAGCACCACAACAAGATAAAGGTAAATAATCCAACAGAAAAATGGGCACAGGATATGAACAGACACTTCACCAAAGAAGACATTCAGATGGCTAACAAACACATGAAGAAATGTTCAAAATCCCTAGCTCTAAGACAGGTGCAAATCAAAACAACTATGAGATATCATCTCACTCCAGTCAGAACAGCAAAATTTAACAGAACAGCAAGCAACAAATGCTGGCAAGGTTGTGGAGAAACTGGAACCCTTATTCACTGTTGGTGGGAATGTAAAATGGTGCAACTACTGTGCAACCCAGTATGGCACTTTCCCAAAAAGTTGCAAATAGAGATACCATTCAACCCAGCAATTCCAGTACTGGGAATATACCCCAAAGAGACCATAAATGACATCCAAGCAGATATATGCAGACCCATGTTTATTGTGGCTTTGTTCACAATAGCAAGGAGTTGGAAACAACCCAGGTGCCCATCAACAAACAAATGGATAGAGAAGCTGTGGTATAGTCACACAATGGAATACTATGCTGCATTGAAAAACAAGGAACTCATGCAATATTATTCAAAATGGGTGACCCTGGAGAACATTATGCTGAGTAAAATATCTCAGTCACAAAAGGACAATACTGCATGGTGCCACTGTTGTAAAACAGGACTGACATCGGGGTTGGGGGGAGACTGAGAAAGATGGGTTCAATAATGTATACTGCACTGAAATACATGAGGGAGAAAACTGTTTAAAAGGGATATGTGGTTAGGTATTTTTGTCATGACAGGAGTCTAGAGCGAAGGCTACATGGTGGAGTGAACCTGGGGGAGGGTTTGTAAAACAATGAAAGAATTTTTCTTTTACTTTTACAAGAGGGTAGTGTACTAGGGGGGAGGGTTGGGAGGGGAGAAAAGTGCAACAATGAATGAATGGGGGAAAAAAGAAGAGGGTCAGAGAAGGCAAGCAAGACTCTCAAGGAGATGGGGTACACAGTGGCAATAACAGGTTCAAGCACAGCAAAGATGAGGAGACGGCACAGGCCTGGGAAGCACTTCATTCTAACTCAGCAGCACTGAACAACTACAGACACCCCAGACCTGCTGGACCGATCCCTTCCTGGGTAACTGCAACGGGCCTCCAAGAGGGCTCTCTCCTCCACCCACAGCCCTCCACTCGGTGTTCTACAGCAAGCCACCATGCCGGCCAGTCCCAGCGCCCCAGGCCCTCCTCAGGTCCACTGGGCCCAGCCTGGCCTGCCTGCCATTCCTGCTGCTCTCCTCCACCTCCAGCCCTTAGAAGCTGGTGCCTAGTCTCTCCTGGCCCCTGGCCCTGTTTACCTTTCACATTTGCAGATTTTAAACGGCAGCCCTGGGCTGTGACAAATCCTGAGGACTACAGTGGCTTTCAGAGGCCCATGAGCCTCTTGGGGTTCCCTCTTCCAGAATTCAGGGGCTACCTGCTGGCATCTCTTCAGGTGCTCCACATCCTGCAGGGCCTGCTCCCTCTGCCGCTTCAGCTCCAGCTTCTCCAGGTTCAGCCTCTCCACCAGCTTCCGGGCCTCCTGGAACTTGTGCATGAGGAATTCCTTCTCCTCTCTCTGGCTGACCTGGAAACGCAGCAGCTCCTCGCATTGCTCACGAAGCATCTGGTTGCTCTGCCGCATGGCATCTGGCAGCAGAGGAGACAGCAGAGGGGAAAGTGAGCCCTGTGGCCTGAGGCCAGGACTGCCATGGCAAGGCCAAGTCCACAATGCCTTTTATAGTTCAGGCACTTTCAAACTAATTACACTAACATGCCCCTAAATCTCTCCAGTCCTCATTCCCCAGCCCTCTCCCATTGCTGGTGTTAAATAGGGCGGCCACTCTGGTGAAAGTGTGGCAGTTCCTTAAAAAGTTAAACACAGAAACACCATGTGACCCAGCAATTCCACTCCTAGGTCATACCCAGAGAAATGAAAGCAGGAATAAAAATAGACCTTGTACAGCAAAGTCAGCTGCAGCATTACTTGCCAAAAAACCAGGAGTAGGAAACCCCAAACTGCCTTCCAGAGTGGCTGTGCCAACAGTGGGTGAAGAGTTCCTATCCCAGCACATCCTCTCCAGCATTTATGACTTGCTGTCCTGTTAAACTTTGCCACTGCTCCTGGGGTGAGACGGTATCTTGCTGTGGTTTGGATTTGGCAGAAGGGTGAGGATGGTAGGGGGTGGGGGGAAATCACAGGGTCGCACAATTTGGTGGGGGGGGGGTAAAGGAAATGGGCAAGATCTGGTGGTGACCAGAAAAGACAAGGTAATGGTGGGCATAGTCCAATGGCAATTAATTCTATAAAACACCATGAATGGCAATGATCATATAAAATATGTCAATGAAGGAAAGTGTGAAACAAAAAAAAAGTAACTCTTGGGTAAGAAAGGAAGTAAAACCCTCAATTAAGTATTGTTTTGAAGATAGTAAAAAGACAGGAGGAATATTTTTTTTTTTAGGAAGAATATTCTTAAGTGTCCATCATCTACAGATGATGAATGGAATATGAGACAGTCATACAGAGAAAATAAGTTCTGACACATGCTACAATATGCATGGATTTTGAAGCTGTTGTTATGTGCCGTCAAGGTGACGACTCATAGAGAGCCTATGAACAATGGCTCTGAACCCAGCCCTGTTCTCAGCCAACCTCATCATCTCTGACACACCTGACCCCATTGCCAGTCATGTGTCCATCTACCTCATCCACAGTCTTCCTCTCCTGGCTGTCCCTCCATCCTTCCAAGCATGATGTCCTTCCCAAGGACTGGTCCCTCCTGGCCACATGATCAGAGCATGTGAGACAGAGCTTCAAAATCCTTCCCCTCTCCAGGACAGAACTGGTTGTTCTCGTGGTGCTCCACAGTATGTTCAACACTCTTCTCCAGCACCACAACTCAAAAGTATCAATTTCTCTGTCATCCTTAGTCATTGTCCAGCTATCAGATGCATAGCAAGTAATTGCAAAGACCATGACCTGGACCAGGTGCACCTTAGTCTCTAAACTGACATCGTTGCTCTTCAGTACTCTGGAGAGGTCCCTGACAGCAGATTTTCCCAATGCAATTAGTCTTGATTTCCTGAACGCTGGTGCCAAGAGTGTTGATTATGGAGCCAAGCAATATATAATTGTTAACAACCTCAATCTTTTCTCCACCCATCATGATATTGTCAATTGGTCCAGTGGTGAAGATCTTTGTTTTCTTGGTGTTAAGATGCAATCTATATTAAAGGCTACAATCCTTGACCTTCTGTAGCAAGTGCTTTGAGTCCGCCTCACTTCTGGCAGGCACAGTGGTGTCATATGTGTAATACAGGTTGCTAGTGAGTCTTCTTCCATTCCTGATGCCACATTCCTCTTCATAAAGTCCAGCCTCTCAAATGATCTTCACACTTATAGATTGGAAAGGTATGGAGACAGGAAGCATTTCTGACGTGTTCTTTTCTTGATTCTGAACCACACAGTGTTCCCTTGCTCTACTGAGACAACAGCTTCCTGGTCTACGCATAGGTTTTGCATAAGCACAATCCAGTTTTCTGGGATTCCCATTCTTCTTAATGTTAGTCACAACTTGTTGTGATCCACACAGTCAAATACCTTTGCATAAAACACAAAAACTCCTTCTGGCACTTGCTGCTTTCAACCAAGTTCCATCTGACACTGGCGATAATGCTCTAGTACTACAGCTTCTTCTAAACGCAGTGAGGATTTCTGACGGTGCTCTGTCGAGGTACTGTTCCAGGTGTTTTTGGACAATCTTTTGCAAGATTTTGGTTGCATATATTAGTGTTATTGTTTGAAAATTTCATTATATTAAATGAAATAAGGTAGTAAAAAAAGAAAAAAAGACTGTTATGATCCCACTTGTATAAAGTATCTAGAAAATGTAGATTCATAGAGAGAAAAAGTAGAGTTTACTGGGGGCTGGATGGAGGGTGAAGTGAGGAGCTATTGCTTAAGGGGTCCTGAGTTTCTGTATGACTAAACAGAAATTTTTCAGTTAGATATACCTGGACACAACAAAGTTTTTAAGTGCATACTAAAGACCTATTCTCTGTAAATGACCCTGGGGTACCTGCAGGACCAGGGGGAAGACCCCGGGACAGAGCAGCCTTGCTGACTGGCCCCCTACCTGAGGGCTGGTGGCACAGACATGTTTCTCTGTCCACTGTTGACAATGTGCCAGCCCTGAGCTCTCAGAGCTTCATCTGTACATGTGACAGGAATCCTTCCCTTCCACACTGAGCCAGGAGCCTGGACAGACCTCAGAGGATGCCAGCCAAGAAAAGCCAGGTAGGCGAGTGTAGGAGCCCAGAATCAACCTGGCGCTGCGAGCAGGGACAGACTCACCTGACTGAAGAAAGACTTTCACCAAAATAGGAGGTAGTACGGCTCCATATAACTGCCTCCAGAACCACACTACCACCTTCGGTGCCACCCACCTCACCCAAGGCTCTGTCTTGGCACTTCCTCGCATGCTGTTCTGCTGCTTGCCAGAGTTCAGCCTGGCTGCCCAGGGCCAGTTCACTCACATTGCTTTACTTTTCTATGTTTCTCACAGAGATAAAATATACCCTTTAAAGTAGACAGTCCAGTAGTTTTCAGTCTCTTCACAATGTTGTACCACTATCTAGTTCAGATCATTCCATCACTCCAAAGTATGCCCATTAGCGCTGCCTCCCCAGCCCCTAACAACCACTAATCCATGTTCTTTCTCCTTGGTCCTGTCTGTTCTGGGGTTGACACAGGAGAGTTGTACCACATGTGTACACTAGGTTCATGCCCCTTCTTCCAGGAAGTCTTCCCCCAAATGCTCCAAGCAGACACAAAGTCCTCCGTTACCTCTACTCCCTCCCTTCTTGAGCACCCACACCCAGTCTGGAGTATCTTAGAACCAACACTGTCAGACCTGATGGCCAGCACCCATCTGACAGAGACAAGGAGTTCTAGCGCTTCACACAGGACTTGGACAGGTCACTTGGCCTCAAGGCCTGACCCTTCTGAGAACGAGAGCAAAGCAGCCTGCTAGGCAGGACATGACCGTGGCGGGCAGAGGAGGAGAGCCAGGAAAGCTATCAACACGGACCTTGAACAGTCAAAACCCATGCTCTCTCTCTTAACTCTGGGCTCAGGATACACAGCCAGAATACCGGACACTGGGCACATCAGGCCACCATAAAACGTATGACAACCTACTCACCTCGGAGCTCCTGATTCTCCTCCAGGCAGCGCTGGAGGGTCTCGGGGGTGCTCTGCTCTGAAGGCAAGTGGAGCATGGCTGGCTTCCCCAGAGAAGACTCTTCTGTCAGCCCGTCCTGGTCCCCCACTGGGCCCCCACTGGGCTGCACCATCTCACAAGGCAGATGCTTCCAGAGATGCTTATTCATCCAACACAGTGCAGTCTGGAAGAGAAAGACAGCAGGAGTGCCACAGGGGCCCTGGCAGGCTTCCCTGAGCCCACAGGTTGCTTCTGCACAAGGGTCTGAGAGCCATCAGCTCATCTAATGGACTTCTGGCAGCTAGTACACCTGCGGTCCCAAAGAAAGAAGCAGCAGACAGGGCTGGCAGACCACCTGAGGTGGCTGCGAAACGATGGCTCAACACTAGCTTTAAGCTCTACTTGGCACCCACCTCCAAGCATAAGCTGAAGCTAAGAGCTCTGCCAAGCACAGGAAGTTAGCGAGAGGGCTGCCTTTGGAAGAGTCAGTGTCCTGGACTGAATGGTGGCCCCCAAAAGATATGGCTACAACTGAAATCCTGAAACCTTATTTAGAAAGAGGGTCTTGAAGGTGGAAATAGAGGGATCTTGAGATGATCTCATTCTGGCTTAATTGGATGGTTCCTAAACCCAAAGATTGGAGTTCTTCCAAGAAACAGACACAGAGAGGAAGGCACAGGAAGATGGAGACAGGGACTGAAGTGATGCAGCCACAAAACAAGGAATGCTTGGAGTCACTGAGACTGGAAGAGGCAAGGGAGGACCCTCTCTCAAGCCTCTGGAGGGAACACAACCTTAACTCCAGACTTCTAGCCTCTAGAAAAGTGGGAGAATACATTTCAGTTGCTGCCAGTATGATGGTTGTGTCCTGGAGGTAGAGGGTGCCCCAGGGTGTGTGACACGTGCTATTGTTGCCAGTCTGATGGTTGTGTCCTGAGTCATGGTGCCACAGGGTGTGTGACAGGTACTGTTGTTGCCAGTCTGAAGGTTGTATCCTGGAAGTAGAGGGTGTCCCAGGGTATGTGAGATGTGCTGTCACCACTGTATACCGTCAAGTCGGAACTGACCCCTTGCTGACCCTGCAGTGGGTTTTCAGAGGCAGTAAATCACATGGGCAGAGGTTGCCCTTCCTTCTCTCAAGGAGCAGCTGGTGGATTTATACCGCATACCTCTGTATTGGCAGCACAATTCCTTACCAGTAAGCCACCAGGTGCTGAGGACACAGAAAGCGAGAACTGGGCTTTCAGTCCGAGCTGCCTGCATTCCCTATGAAGTGGAGGGAGGCTGTGGAGAAGGGTACCAGCCTCAGCCCTTTGAGATCCTGCCCAGCAGGACTGAAGGAAGAGCATTTCCACTTCTTCTTCTTCCTTGACAGACCCTCCATCCTCGGCTTCCAGAACATTCCCCACTCCTGGGTCCTTTCACTGCCACCGCCTCTTCTCCCCTTCATGCTGGGGTGCCCAGGATGGGGGCCTGAGACTTCTTCTGTAACTACATTCACGGCATTAGGAATGCTATGTAGTCTCTAGTGTCAAACCTGAGCACCAGAACAGACAACACATCTACGTGGATAGCTCACAATGTTCTCAACGCTATCTGATAGAAAACCGTACCGCTGAGAGGCCCCAAAAGCCAGTTCCATTCTTGTGTATCACATCCACCCTCCAGTTCTCCAGACAGACACCTGGGAGTCAGTCTGGGCTTCTCTTTCTCTCACACCTAATTCATCTGAAAATCCAATAAAAGGAATCCCAAAATCCACTTGGTGACACTAAACAATCAAAGATAACGATCTTGGATATGATAATGACAGATTTCATTTTATTGCTATTTTAGTAAGTCCTTTCTCTAAAAAGTGCATATTGAATAGTTACAAAAGAAATTATAAGCTATCTGGAATCTGCTCCAAATAGTTACAAAAGAAACTTTAAGCTATCTGGAATCTGCTTCAACATAATGAGAGCTCCAGATGTATATACTAAAGAAATGAGGATGCATGGCCACAAGTATCCAAAAGTAGAAACTCCCAAAACACCTCAGCAGGTAACAGAATCTAGTACATCTACATACAATCAGATAGTATTTGACCATAAAAACAAAGCACTGACCTACATCATGGCATGGGTGAATATTAAAAACATGCTGAGGGGAAAAATCAGTCTCAAAAATTCACACACTAAAAAAAAAATTTTTTTAAATCACACACTACACTATTTCATTGACACAAAAAGTCTAGCACACGCAGTTCCCAGTGGCAGAGAGGAGGCAGGGAAGGAGTAAAGGACAAGGGCTAAAGTGCACAGGATTTCCTTCTGGAATCACCAGAATGTTGTGAAATTGGGTAAGGGAGATGCAAGTTGGAATATACTGAGAACAATTAAAATGTGTGCTTTAAAATGATGGAGTATACAGTACATGAATTATATCTCAATTTAAAAAAAACCAACCAACAACCACTGCTATTAAGTTCAACACCTAGAGGCCCTCCATCGGGTCTCCAAGCCCATAAATTCTTAGAGATTTCTCCCAGTACTTTAACTACAACTGTTAAGGGAGAACAAAACCAGGAAAGGGATGTGGAAGAGTGGAGATCAAGCAAGGTTAGTCCAGAGCTTATAATGGCTAAAGCAGAGAGGTGGGTAGATGAAATCTACTTTTTTTTTTTTTTACTCGTTGCATGCGGTTGAATCAGATCCAGCTGGCACTGGAGGAGGTTACTACTCCTTCTCCAGCAGAGCATCTGGTGGATTGGAACTGCACACCTTCGGGATTGCAGAGCAGCTTCTTGCCACAAGGCCACCAGAGCTCCCTGTGAAACTGACTCTCATCTCTACTCTTGTGCACACTGGTGTTTTACATAACAGAATCTCCAAGGCCCCATTGTCTCCCACCTGGCTAACTGCTCCTACCTTTCCCCCAAAATGTATTATCTCCCCTCTTCTACGGCAAGGGACTTCCTTTTCTACTCAGAACACTGCCCTCGGTGTGAAAGCCAAAGTCCGTCCATCGGCCTGCAAAGCCCTATCTCTTCTGGTTCCCACCAGGAGAAAATCTCCAACTACTCTCCCAAGCTCACTGTCCTCCAGGTACACTAACATCCTTTGCTTTTTCTGGTCAAGCAAAACTCATTAAATCATCCTCAGCTTGCAGTTATGGGATGAGGTCAAGTAGACAGTAACTGCTTTTGCAAACTGACCAAATAAGGCACATAAAGACATGCAGGTGTGTGTGGTTTGTTTCGTTTTTAAGGAACTTAATGCTTTCAAAGGCATTCACGTCTAACGGACAGATAATGTCTCCCAACTAGAAGAGTCCTCACGGTTAGACCCTCCGGTGGAGGCAGGGTGCCAAACAGTCCCGCTGGCCTCTGCATTCTCAGGGCCTGAATTCGCCCGCTTCTGCCGGTGCTCTAGAAGCGCGCGGCTGCAACCAACCCGGCCCACGAAGAGAGGGCAGCCCGACGTGACAGAGCGCCCGCTGAAGGCACCCTATCTTCGGGGAAAGGACTGCACCTGTCAGCAGGGTCGGTCCGACGTTAGAAGGGCGGGAGCAACAGGCTGCCAGAGATCCTAGATCCTCGCTGCTCCAAGACGGTCTTAGTTCCGCTGTTGCCCTTGCCTCCCACCGCTGAAACCTGCACTTCCGGCTTCCTTTGTCGTAGCCGTGGGATCCGGAAGCGAATCAGGAAGCCCCGATGAGCCCAGACGGTGACAAGAGTTGGGTGGGCCTCTCAAGGCTGTAGCTTGCACGGAGGAAGGCCACAGCTCGCCATCAACAGATGGTCTCCCGAAACACCACCACTCTCCAGAGGGCGTTACACCCTCGACTCTCGGGTCTCCCGGGGAACAGTCGTCCCACCCCTGCCGTGGGCGGATCCAAGACGAGGCTGGCCAACAGGAACACTAGGGAGCGGGTGGAGAGTCCATGAGAGGGCGGAGCTTCAGGAGGGAGACCCTGCCGCGAAGTCAGGGGAGGGGAGGGGAGAGGAGGTGTGGCCCCACTGCCAGCGGAAGTCCAGAGCTCCGCAAAGGCTCATGGTCCTCTAGGGGCGGGCGGGAAAGTCAGGGCGTTGGGGCGTGGCCGGGCTAGAGATGGGAACTCGGGTGAACGCCGCGGAATTGCATCTGGGTGGGCTAAGAGTTACTTCTAGAGAGGCAGCCGATGATACTGGCCAACAGCGACAGGAACAGAAAATGGCCCGCAATCTGGCAGGCCACACAGGTACCTAATGGGCGGGCCGGGGGGGGGCGGTTTGCAGGGTGGGCCTGTGATGCGTGCGCACCTACCCTCGCCCCGCCCCGCGCGGGAGGGATATGCCGAGGCCCCGCCCCGCGCACCTCGCCTGAGGCTCAGCCAAGGTCCCTGCCCCGCCCCACCGGTTAAATGTGCCGGCGGGACGCAGCCCCCGGAAACGACGGTGCTTTCTCGCCGTACGAGTGCTGAAGGTGGTAGTGGGGCGGCACTGAGAACCTACCTAGCTGAGGGGAGCTGGAGAGCTGAGAGGCGTGCTGCCCGCCAGGGCTCGCGGGCTTGGGACGGCGGTGTTGATCTTACTTGGTAGTGTGGTAGCAGGGTCGAGTTGAGAGCGGCTTAGCAAACCCTGTTGTCCCATGCAGACACGCCTGGGGACCTTGAGCGAGACGGGCGCTTGCCCAGGTTTACTGTAGTAGAGCTGGGTCATTCTCCGTCGTGGTGCTGAGTTTCCACATGAGTGCAGGGTTTGAGGGAAGTGGGCATGTTGTGTGAGCGCAGTCCCTAAAAGAAGACAGCCAGGGAGAGAAGGGCTGCAGGGCAGAGCTAATGCACAACGCGATCCGCTTGATCCCGGGCACAGTCCCGGCGGGGGCTTCCGGTAACCAGGCGCCAGCCTGCTCAGAGTCCCGGCGGCATCCCTTGGGTGCTCCACTCTGTGCGTTTGCCAACAGCCCTTTCTTCCCCCAGAGAACACCATGGCTGAGCAGGTGGCCCTGAGCCGGACCCAGGTGTGCGGGATCCTCCGGGAAGAGCTGTACCAGGGAAATGCCTTCCACCAGTCCGACACGCACATATTCATCATCATGGGTGCCTCGGTGAGTCTCCAGGCTTTGCCTCCCCTCTCTCCCCACTTATGTGGAAGACCCACCAGGACGCCTTTGGCCTCACAGCACTGTCCCCGCACCGGGGAGCGTCCCCGCACCGGGGAGCGTTTTTAAATCTGCACTCAGCCCTGGAACATGGGCCCCGCATCCTGGAGCTGGAAGGTCCTTGAGACCTCCTCCACCATCTCCACCTTTCTCTCCTCCACCACCTGCCTTCTACACCTCCACCACCTCCTCCTCCTCC